CCCCCCCCCCCCCCACACCCCTGCCACAAACCTCACCTTGGGTTCCTGGATCCGCTGGTCTTCTTCAATATCCCCATTCCAAGCTGTCCTGGTCCTCCATCTTGGGGTCCCTACACACACACTTCCCCACCTCGAACCCCCTCCCCAGGTCACATTGACGTCTCTGAGATCCAGCAGAGTTTCCAAGCTCTGGGCATTTCCATCTCGCTGGAGCAGGCAGAGAAAATCCTGCATAGGTGAGTAGCGGGGTGTCCAGAATCCCAGGTAACTCAGGTCCCCAAGACCCCTCAGCCACCTTGAGCCTCTGAGCCTCAGACCCAATCCCAAGGCAGTGGAGCTGAGATCTTGGCCCGGTTGCTTCCCCTCTCTGAACCTCAGTCTCCCCCTCTGTAAAATGGGGAGCTCCCAGTGCCCAGGAGCTCAGTCTACCCCCCAAATCCACAAGAACCTCACTCAACTCACCCCTGGACCCAGGCACTGATTCTGTCCCACTGGTACCCCTCCCCCCGCAGCATGGACCGTGATGACACCATGACCATTGACTGGCAGGAGTGGCGTGACCACTTCCTGTTGCACTCGCTGGAGAATGTGGAAGATGTGCTGTATTTCTGGAAGCATTCCACGGTGAGGTGGGGGGCGGCTGTCCCAGCCTGGTGGTCGGGCCCTCTTCCCCGGGGCATGGGGGGAGGGGCTGGCTCGGGACTCTAGAAGGAGGAGCCACTGGGAGCAGCTGAGGGATGAGGCTCTGCTCTCCTCTTCCTCCATCTGGGGCTCCCAGGACCCATTTGGGGAGGTCTCTGCCAGCTGATGGGGACCCTTCAGACTTACTGTGGGGCCTCCGGGGGTTCAGGGAAGAAAGGGCTCACCAGATGGGGCATCTGGTCTCCCACCCTCAACCACATGGCTCTCTTTCTGCTGGTTTCTATTCCCCTCAGTAAAGGATTCTGCTGCTGAAAAGACAAGTTAGGAAGCCACTATCTTCAGAGGGTCTCACGGGATCTACTGGAACTTGGGAGAGAGGAAGTGCTCTGGATTGCCATTTCCAGGGTGGGAATCCTTGAGTGATGCATCTGATAAGATCTGATGGCATCTGGAGGGGTCCATCTATGGGATCTGCTGAGATCCTCTTGGGAGATCCAGAGATTCCCACCCTGGAGGACCCATGAGGGGCTTGGTTAAGAAGTCTGCAGGTGAAGGATGCTAGAGGGGGGGGTGATCTCTGTGGGGGAGACCCCTGGGGATCTGGTGAGACCCCCCCAGGAGGGATCTGCTGGGCTCCATATATAGGAAGTCCCTGGTAGGATCTTGTGTGGCCCTGGAGGTATCTTCTGGAATTCTTACGTGGGAGACCCTTGGGTGGGATCCTTTGGAGGGATCTGATTGGCTCTGGAGGGATCTTTATGGGGCAGGGGCTTGTTTGTTTTGTTGTTGTTGTTTGGGTTATTTTTGTTGTTTTGTTTTGTTTTGTTTTGTTGGCTGTGCTGCACGGCATGCAGGATCTTAGTTCCCTGATCAGGGATCGAACGTGTGCCCCCTGCAGTGGAAGCGCAGAGCCCTCACCACTGGACCGCCAGGGAATTCCCATAATATATATATTCTTATATATTCTCTTTTATTTATTCATTTTTGGCCACACCACGCAGCATGTGGGATCTTATTTCCCCAACCAGGGATCGAACCCATGCCCCCTGCAGTGGAAGCGTGGAGTCTTAACCACTGGACCCCCAGGGAAGTCCCATGTGGGGTAGAGACTTGAATAGGATGCTTTGATGGGATTTGGTGGAGATCCCCAGGAAGGATGTTATCATCTTTTGTGGAGACTTCGGGGCTGGGTCTGGTAGGGGTCCAAGAGAGATCTCTTGGGCTCTCCAAGTGAGATTCACTGGTGGACTGGGATTCATTGCTGGGTACCCTGGGATTCATGGGGGAGACGCCCCAGTTTAGGGCAGAGTTGCATCCCCCCAGCCCCACTGGGGCATGACACCCCCAGCCTCTGCATCCCCAGGTCCTGGACATTGGCGAGTGCCTGACTGTCCCGGATGAGTTCTCGGAGCAGGAGAAGCTGACTGGCACGTGGTGGAAACAGCTGGTGGCGGGTGCGATGGCGGGTGCCGTGTCCCGGACGGGCACAGCCCCCCTGGACCGCCTCAAGGTCTTCATGCAGGTGAGGGGCCCTGGAGAGACCCACCCCCTTCCCTAGGCCTGGACCCCTGGAGGGGTCCCCAAAGCCACCTGGTCTTCCCACCCAGGTCCACGCCTCCAAGACCAACCGGCTGAACATCCTGGGAGGCCTACGGAGCATGATCCAAGAGGGGGGCGTGCGCTCCCTGTGGCGTGGCAACGGGATTAACGTGCTCAAGATTGCACCTGAGTCGGCAATCAAGTTCATGGCCTATGAGCAGGTGGGGGCAGGCAGGGGGAGGCGTGGGCTACAGACATGAGGATTTGCAGGATTGGCCTGGGGGTGGGGGATGTCTGCAGGTCCCCAGGAGTGGGCATCTGCTCCCCTTCGGGATGCACCCAGGGGGAGGACAGCAGAGGGAAGGTCCAAGTGCACGGAAGGCCCAACCCCTGAGGTCCGGCCTGAGGTCCCGCCACCTCTGTGTCTCCCTCTCAGATCAAGCGGGCCATCTGGGGGCAGCAGGAGACACTGCATGTGCAGGAGCGCTTTGTGGCTGGCTCCCTGGCTGGTGCCACAGCCCAAACCATCATTTACCCCATGGAGGTGAGAAGGAGGGGCCCTAGCAGAGGCTCCGTTGCAGGGCTGGGGGCGGGCCTGCAATAACCATTTCACTCCAAGGTGGGATAAGCATTGGGATTATAACTTTGCTTCTTCTTGATTCAGACTGTAGCTCATTAGAGCAATGCACTTTCATGTGTAGCTGGTCTGGGACAGTAGTGTTGGTTTAGCTGTTTAGATAACAGTTGTGGGGTCCAGCCCTTTATGGATATGACTCGTCTAAGGATACTGGCTTCCGGGATGCTTGTCCCCAAGGGAATCGTTTCTAGGTGAAACCACTTTTGGAGAAATCATTTCAAGTTTCAGATTGCGCCAGGCATCACTTAGGATTCTGAGTGACGGAAAACTCAAATCACATAAATGAAGTCCGGAGGTGAGCAGTTCAGGGATGGTCTGGTGGCTTCAGAGTGTTAGAGACCCAGGTTCCTTCCCTCTATCTTGTTCTACCACCTCAGCATGTGACACCCACCTCATGGACTAAGATGACTGCTTGTGCTCCAGTCACAGCATCCACGCTCCAGCCAAGAAGGAGGAACAGAGGAAGGAACACCTCCCTGCCTTTAAGGATGCTTTCTGACAGCCTCGCATACCTCTTCACCTTCTGAGCTAGGACTCAGTCACATGGCTACCCGCCTAGGGAAGCTGAGAAATGTAGTCTTTATTTCTAGAGGCTGTGTTCTTGCTGAAAAGAGCAGTTTCTATTGATAAGGGAGAAGGTAACAAGATATTGGGAGACAGCAGTGGGTGCCACGTGCAAGTCTGATAGGCGTAACCAGTTTGTAGGGATAGAGTTTGGGGGTAGAAGATTCTAGAGCAAGTGGTTCTTTCATTTATTTTTATTTTATTTTATTTTATTTTTTGGCCACACCAAGCAGCATGCAGGATCTTAATTCCCCGACCAGTGATCGAACCCGTGCCCCCTGCAAGGGAAGTGCAGGGTCCCAACTACTGGACCACCAGGGAAGTCCCACAAGTGGTTCTTTTAATTCAGTTATTCTCAGGGTATCTCCATCTAGGAGGTACAGTTTCCAAGTGTCTTCATTCCTGGATGTAGTGATTCCGAAGGCAGCTTTTCCAGGGATAACCGGCTTCTCCCCAGGTACTGAAGACACGGCTGACCCTTCGCCTGACGGGCCAGTATAAGGGGCTGCTGGACTGTGCGTGGCGGATCCTGGAGCGAGAAGGGCCCCAAGCCTTCTACCGCGGCTACCTGCCCAACGTGCTGGGCATCATCCCCTACGCGGGCATCGACCTGGCCGTCTACGAGGTCTGTGGTCCTCCCTTCTCTGGGATCTGCCCTTCCTGTGGGGCTGGTTCAGTTGACCTCCATAGCTAGGGGTGGAGAAGCAAAGCACTGTGGGCCTTGGGATCCCGGGGGACTCCTTCAGGCATGGGACCTCCCCACCTGCCCTGCCACTCTTCCACTTCCCACCGCAAGAACCTTCCATCTGTACTTTGGCCTTCCCGGGTCTCAGGACATGTGAAAGTCGGGGACCACTCTAGCTCACAGAAACGTGGGAGCAGGCGAAGATGAGCTTCAAAGATGCCCATCCCCCCAAAAACGTGGGTCAGACGCGCCTCCATCTCCAGGCCAATATCTTCTTCAAGGCCATTTCAGTCATTGCCGCCACCATAAAATCCATACCCCATGACCAGCATCTCGGGGCCTTTATCAGGAGAAGCAGGAGCTGGGAGTTTTTGCTGTTTCTCTTCTAGGGACCTCATCCATTGCTTTTCCCTTCGCCTGGTGGGATCACCAGGTTCTCCCAATTAGCACAGCCTCAGAAGTTCCCAGGCATCCCCCCACCCGCAATCGTTGTATCCAGCCCAGCTTCATGGGCAGGCAACCTATAGGGTCACCAGCTCAGAAGGGCTCCACACTTGGTTGAATGCTTTGCTGTCACCCTCTTGAAATTCTTAAAAATCTTTGAACAAGCGACCTCACATATTTTTATTTCACACTGGGCCCCACAAGTGACGTAGCTGGTCCTGATCTAAGATCCCCGGTACCTGCCATCCGTACCTGCCCTACCAGCACCCAGCGTCTACGGAGCCAAGTGAGGCAAGGCTTCATTCATTCGTTCGTACATTTATTCATGCATTCACTCATTCACCCGTTCACTTAGCAACTATGTCCTAAGCATCCATGTATTCTGGGTACTGTGCTGGCTGCTGCATTCAGGGAGTACAACATAATTCTTGTCCTCCCGGGACACCCCTCCAATGAACAAAGAAGTCAAGTCAAGCAGCAAATAAGTAATTGCAGATCCTAAAATGTTCTCAGAATTTAATAAACAGGACGTGCAATTCAAAGTAGCCATGGGCAGGGGAGGGGCGTGTCTAGGAATGTCTCTGAGAGGTGGTGTTGGAGTGATGAGTTGAATATATATCAGGAGGGAGTGTGAACAAGGGCACAGCCAATGCCAAGATCCAGAAGCAGGAAT